TCTCATTACTATTGTATAGTATGATTTTTTTAAATTAGAAAACATATATTTTATACATATTTTTTGCCTACAAACCAAAGCGACAAATGGAAAACTCTCAGTTATTTAGTTGATAACATGCTACATAATCATTATTAGTACTGATATGAAATAATATGGACAAGTGAAATTCATAGAACCTCATTACGGTCAATATTTTAAATTGTTTTCCCAATTATAACGTTTAGCATATTTACATAAGAAATTGACTTAAATTCATTTTCAAGCTCCCAAGTTGCTAATTGACAAATAAATGTTATGAATTATTTTCTACATGCCTATCGGTATAAACAAGTTAAGATGAGCGGTCAGTAAGAGTGCTGAAGGGTGACTATGGCATGTGGGCTTTAGTTCTTTCATGACATCTATCAGTTGCCTTCTGCAAATATTATAATATAGGAAGAGACAGTGCCCTCTATGCAAATACAGCTTCAAGCCCATATCCAACCAGACTGCTACCACCAAAACTGCCCATGTAGAAATTCTAGAGCTTACATTGAGTGAGTATAGGTTTAGATGTCTTACCAGATTCTGTACCATGCACATTCTTTCACTTCTCAGTTCAGCTACTAGTCCATATATATCCACAAAATCATGGTCATTTATATGTTGTGTTAAGTGGTCCAGAGCAATAAAGACTCCAGTTCTTCCAACTCCAGCACTGCAGGAAGAGTGAAATTACATGAAAATGATTCAGCAAAAGGTTGTTCATGTTGATGGTGATGAAGATAATGAGCTATGATACCAATAAATTCTTACAGTTTCTTTTCTTATTTGGAGGTAGAGTTTCTTTGGAGCTTCTTTGGATTTTTATTGTTATCAATAATGTTTAACGGGGCAAGATGATTATCATTAATATGCTATCAAATATTTTAAGTTTTTCTTTTTTTAACCAGTTGAACTTACTCTCTTATTTCATAATATTTTAGGGGGTATTGTTTGAGAAGTATAGAGAAGATTTTAAAAAATTATTAAAAATTCTTCACACCAGAAACTTTGATTGAAACTTTGATTTAGTAGAAATGCTATTAGAAATCTCAAATATTTAGCCCATATAGCATTTCCTCTGCATCATGATGAAAAATTGTCTCTCAAGTGACCTTTTCACTTTTTTCTCTAGAATTGTTTTTACCTCCTATAGATAATAAAACTGACAAACTATTTTCTTTTAGAAATTACTTTAAAACTCAAGGTTAGGCATGTGCTCTATAGAAACTGTTAACTGATAAACCTCACAAGATTAATCCAGAAATTCCTATGAGAAAGGCAAGATCCTTAGGTATTTAAACAGTTAAATAGGAAGTCAATCTGAAAAAAATATTTGAAAGGTCATCTAGTCTTATAAATATTACTTTCATCCAGATGAAACTGCTATTTGTATAGGTAAGAAACAGTCAAATATCAGCAATTTCCTGTGATTTGACCTTAGAAATTATGGACCTTACAATGTAAAACTGATTATGGTAACATGTACACATACAAGCCCAGAGTTATCAGTCATTTAATCATTTAATATATTTTGAGTGCCGAACACTGTTCTAGGCATCTGGGGTACAGCAGTGAACAAAATAAAGTCCCTGCACTTATGGAGCTCATATTTTAGAGGACAATGGTACATGAATAAGCAGGCAAAGAATATGCCCAGTGGTAATAAGTGCCATGAAAAGAGATGAATCAAATTAAGGAGTTAGAGGGTGATAGGGTAGAATAGGGTCAATAAAAATCTTGTCTGATAATGTAATATTTGAAAAGAATCTTGCATAAGGTTAGGGAGCATACCATGTGGATATCTGGGAGGGGACCATGGGGGCCAGAGGAAGTAAAATGGGAACAAATCTAAGTGAGAGCATGTTCTGAGTGTTCAAAGAAGACCAAGGAGATCAGGGAGGTGAGAGTGCATTGGGGAGGTGAGAGGTGGCCAGGGATCAGAGTATTTGCTGGAATGTGAGAGGAAACGGAGTCAAGGATGACTCCAGGGCTTCTGGCTCAAGCAGAAGGGACTTGTGGTTTAACAAGATAGGGAAAATCTAAGGAGAAGGGTGATTGTTTGGAGATTGCATCAAGTGCTCTGTTTGGGACACATCGAATTTTCAGAATTCTTTAGTCATTCAGACTGTCACGTTGAATTGGAAGCTAAATGTAGAAGTCTAAAGTCAAGGTGACAAGTTGGGGTTGGAGATAAATATTTAGTAGACAGTTTTAAAGTAACATATAAAGATGATCATTGATGTGAACATAGTTTTTCTTATCTCTCTTATCTATTAAATCACAAATTTTTTGTGTTTTTTTATACTCTTTTTGAGGCTTAAACAGGAGAAAATACTTTTCTTTTTAATGGCTTTAATGCCAGTGGTAGTGTATATGCACGATATGGAGAAGCTGAAGGCAGCTACTATCCATTAAAGGTTTTAGTTATCAATGACGACAGCATAAAAACAATCCCTGATTTTAGAAGCAGACTGTTATACTATTTATACTATATACTATTATGCTAAAATTTTTATGTATATGGAAGGATTTTAAGTTGCAAGGGTAAAAATGAAATTTTTACTTTTTGTTCTACATGATTTCTAAATCTAAACATTGTTCAGATATTTTATGA